GCGCATCCGGATCCCGCTTTACCGTTCCAGGTAGAGGTTGACGCGTCCGAGGCTGGTATTGGGGCCGTTCTCTCACAACGGTCTGGCACACCACCTAAACTCCGCCCCTGTGCTTTTTATTCTAAGAAGCTCAGTCCGGCGGAGCGGAATTATGACGTAGGGGACAGGGAGCTGTTAGCCGTGGTACAGGCCCTAAAGGTGTGGAGGCATTGGCTTGAGGGGGCTCAACACCCTTTCCTCATTCTAACTGACCACCGTAACCTGGAATACATCCGGGCAGCTAGGAGACTGAATCCTCGCCAGGCCCGCTGGACTATGTTTCTAGCCCGGTTTGTGTTTAAAATCACTTACATCCCTGGGTCCCAGAACGGGAAGGCAGATGCCCTGTCTCGGCGATATGACACGGAGGAGAGGTCCGTTGAGCCCACTCCCATACTACCGAAGTCTTGTCTGGTTACACCGGTGGTATGGGAGGTCGATGCCGAGATCGAGCGGGCGTTACGCACCGACCCAAGTCCTCCCCAGTGTCCTGTGGGTCGGACGTACGTTCCGCTCGAGGTACGCGATCGCCTCATTTATTGGGCTCATACGTCCCCCTCCTCTGGACATCCAGGTATCGGCCGGACAGTTCACTGCCTTAGCACTAAGTACTGGTGGCCAACGTTAGCCAGGGATGTGAGGATTTATGTCTCCTCCTGTTCGGTGTGTGCCCAGTGTAAGGCGCCCAGACATTTGCCCAGGGGTAAGCTACAACCCCTGCCCGTTCCACAACAACCCTGGTCCCACCTCTCGGTGGATTTTGTTACAGACCTTCCCCTCTCACAGGGGAATACTACCATCCTGGTCGTTGTGGATCGGTTCCCGAAGGCCTGTCGTCTCCTACCCATGCCGGGTCTACCTACTGCCCTACAGACCGCTGAGGCTCTGTTTACCCATGTCTTCCGGCATTACGGGGTACCCGAGGATATAGTGTCTGATCGAGGCCCCCAGTTCACCTCCAGAGTGTGGAGAGCGTTTATGGAACGGTTGGGGGTTTCGGTGAGCCTTACCTCGGGTTACCACCCGGAGAGTAATGGGCAGGTTGAACGTGTCAACCAGGATGTGGGGAGGTTTCTGAGGTCTTATTGCCAGGACCGGCCGGAGGAGTGGGCGAGATACGTTCCGTGGGCCGAGATGGCGCAGAACTCTCTCCGCCACTCCTCCACCCAACTAACCCCTTTCCAGTGTGTGTTAGGGTACCAGCCGGTTCTGGCACCTTGGCACGAGAGCCAGATCGAGGCCCCTGCGGTGGATGAGTGGGTGCGGCGCTCGGAGGAGACGTGGAACACTGCCCACGTTCACCTGCAGCGGGCCATCCGTCGGCATAAGACGAGCGCCGATCTCCACCGCAGTGAGGGGCCTGTGTACGCACCTGGAGATCGAGTCTGGCTCTCGACCAGAAACCTGCCCCTCCGCCTGCCCTGCCGGAAGCTGGGTCGGCGGTTTGTGGGGCCATTTAAAGTCCTGAGGAGGTTGAACGAGGTGTGTTACAGGTTAGACCTGCCTATTGAGTACAGGAATATTAACCCCTCGTTTCATGTGTCTCTCCTCAGGCCGGTGGTAGCTGGTCCACTCCAGGATTATGAGATAGAGGAGATTCCTCCGCCCCTGTTGGACATCAAGGGGGCTCCGGCGTACACTGTGAGGTCCATCCTTGATTCGAGACGCCGGATGGGGGGTCTCCAATATCTCGTGGAGTGGGAGGGGTACGGCCCGGAGGAGCGGTGCTGGGTGCCGAGGAGGGACATATTAGACCTGTCCCTGCTGACCGAGTTCCATCGGGGTCATCCTACGCGCCCTGCTCCGCGTCGTCCTGGTCGTCCCCGAGGCCGGGATCGGCGCACGGCTGGAGCCGCGCGTCAAGGGGGGGGTACTGTCACGGTTTCGGCCGAGGCTGCTCCTTTTCCTTGTTCGGGCAGGCTTCGGCGGTCGTCGTCCCCGGAGTACTAGCTACCACCGTTCGATGTTTCATGTTTGTTTGGTTTTGTCTGGTTGTACACCTGTCCCTTGTTAGTCTTTGATTTTGTGTCCTATTTAGTTATCGTGTGTTGGGTCAGGTGTTATGTGTGATTATTATTGTCAGCTGTTGCCATTGAGGAGTTTCCTCTCTCATAACTTTGTATTTGAGAGTTCGCACTGCGTGCACTTTTTTCTTGTATTTCGCACTGTTGTTGTTGTGCGTAATTGTTCGTGCCACCCGGTTGGGTTGGCGACTCATTCCTGGTTTTGGATATACTAAAGTCTGTTGACGAACACCCTGGTTCCTGCGCTTGATTCCCTGCACCACATCCACACGCAGCGTTCTGACAACTGTGAATACGATGGGGAATAGTAGACTGCTCAGCCTACTGCAGCCTGCCCCTAGTCCCATAATAACCCATGTTTTAACAAGTGAATGGGATTTACAGCTTGCCTGCCTGCTCATTTGATCGATGCCAAGTACATTTTGATTGCCAACTAAGAGATATGCTAACAGTCGTTCAGGTTTCAGTAAATGGGTAGCTAGCTTAGTTAGTCACATTTCTTGGTAGATAATCCCAATAGCTGTAGCCACCGAAGCTGAAAAAAATATATGTTTTTGGGAAAAGGTCTGCCACTTCCTCACTTGTCCAGGTGATAACATAACATCCTTCCAGCAGCTAGCTAGCTACAGTACAAGGCTCTGTGTCATTTTAGGTTTTAGCTAGCTACATTGTTTCGCTAGCTATCAAGCCATATAGCTAGCTTCCTAAATAAGTAGGCCTAAATAAATAGATAAGCTATAGCCTTAGCCACATAATGTTACTACATAGCTAGATTGATTGTGTTGAGGTTCCCAATCATTGCCCTTTTCGTCCATTTTTGCCAAAGTATTGGGTCCCTTACAAAAAAAGATAGCAATTTTGAAACTGCTGTAAAAGTGCAGTAACTGCAGTCGACTGTGGTATTTTGGAAGGATTAATTGCAGAATAACTACAGTGTACTGCAGTTGAACTTAATTTATACTCCACTGTAACTGCAGTCTTTTTCGTAAGGGGTGAGTGAAACTGATGCAGTTCATCCCCTGAATGGCTGGAGGCAGCAAACAATGTAACATTACCAGCTTTGATTTACAACCTGATGGCAATATTTATTAGACTACTTAGTGATTTATTGGTGAATTTTATTGATCATACATTGACTGCATCCATTTAATTCTGCCAACAATGCAAAACTCCACGTAATGTGATTTTGAGTCAAATAGAACCTATTTTTATAAGCTGTTATAAAGATGGTTTTGAAGCATGAAGTGCGAATTTGATATTTTGGATTGATATTATGATTGTCTTTTTGTTTCATTCCTGCAAAGTAGTTTAAATGATGTCAGTTCCACTTTAAGTTGTAGGGTTGAACAGGTTTTTTCTCTTCTCATGCCGCTAACACCCCCTCACATACACAGCAACCTACTTACAGGGACTCTGTGGTCTGTAGCAACGCTGTGGGACCCTTCTCTCTCTCTCCCTCTCTCTCTCTTTCTCTCTTTCTGTGGTTTTCAGCCGGATGTTGGAACTCTTAGTTCTCTCATACTGTAGGCTATACTACTTACTCTTCAAGTTGACCATTGTAGCAACAGTAAACCAACTCTTTTAATGAGGCAGCTTATCTATAACAAGTCAACTGAAATGTGTGAAAAAACAGAATGAGCTATGTATTAGGTAATTTGACGTAGATATCAGTACAGTATTCTCAATCAGTGTGATGTTAGGCCTCTAAAATTATGGACCTACTCAATAACAATATCATAGGAGGGCATTCTATCCATCTATTCTACTGAGTGTAAATCCTGAATGAGAGATCACTAAAGGAAGACTACTGTATTGTGTTTGCTGTGTTTGTCATGTTTTCTTCATAGATGTCTTTATTGAGGTGAAGTGACTGATAGAAGCCCTACTGGATGATAGTGTCATAGAATGCACGTTCAAAACAGGTCACACATTTGAGTCTCTTAGACAACAGTAGCTGCAGTGATAAAGAATAAGTGAAACCGTGCTTCAAAATTAGTAGTCAATTTGTAGAAATCTAAACGATAAGATTCTACCTGTAGGAAAATTCTGTGACTCTGAACTGCACAAGACACACGTAAATGCCACAGTCGTGCCTGAATGAGGCGTCAACCAAAATGATTCGGTCCAGTTCGACCAATCACCTGTAACTCCACTGTTGAAGTGTTGTCTACATGGGTGGACTCTTTCCACTGAAGACCCAAGTTGTGAAGCGCTGACAACTTTAAAGATGATCACACTGTGTCTGATATTTCCACTTCTCATAGAGATGGGTAAGTCAATCTTCTACATTTCTCTGCTTATGTGAGGTCCACACTTGATTTGGAGACACAAGGTATCCAATTATTGTTGTACAGACATCTTGACAATCCAAATATGTATTTGAGGTATGTAACAGCTTAATTTATTTTTATGTTCTCTTGTTCATGGATTAGCTGGGACTGAGTCCTCATCCATCAGACAGGAGAATGGTCTCATTTCAGCCAACGTTGGAGACGCAGTGGTTTTGGTCTGCTTCAACAAAGTCGACACAGGAGTAATGTTCTCTTGGTACAAGCAAACATTTAGAAATGTCCCTCAGCTCATCTCAACCATCTATAAGTATAACAGTAATGCAGCATTTTACCATGAGTTTAAGGATAACCCTCGCTTCTCAGTGGAAGGTGGCCAAGGAAAAAATCACTTAATGATCGAAGACGTGGAACTCTCTGATTCAGGCACATACTACTGTGGAAGTTCTTATGGAAACAATTTGCAGTTTGGACAAGGAGTCATTCTCATCATAAAAGGTAAAGAGAAAGTTACTATTATGAAAATATTTTTAGTAAATGTGAATTTACAGATATACAGTTTAAATGTGAGGTATTCTCTTAATCAGATGAGATCTTAATTGAATACATGTTGAGTTAAAACACTTGCCACAGGGATATTTTAGAGAGATTAAATGGGTTTATTGGCCTTCTTGTCAGGTTCAGGGTCCAGAAATCTGCCTGTACTCCAGCAGCCTGTGTCTGAGTCAGTCCTGCCAGGAGACTCTGTGACTCTGAACTGCACAATACACACTGAGACCTGTGCAGGAGAACACAGTGTCTATTGGTTCAGACATGGCACAGGAGAATCCCATCCAGGAATCATTTATACCCTTGGGGACAAGGGTGATCAGTGTGAGAAGAGCCCTGAGGCTGGGTCTCCTACACAGAGCTGTGTCTACAACCTCCCCAAGAGGAACCTCAGCCTCTCTGATGCTGGGACTTACTACTGTGCCTCATGTGGGGAGATACTGTTTGGGAACGGGACCAAGCTGGATGTTGAAGGTAGACTACATTTTGTAATATATACAGTATATGCTATTGTTAAAAAGATAAACATTACAGTTAATTATTGATTTGCGGTATCAACTGCTGGCCGTAGTGGAGTTGTGGAGTGACACTGTATACACTGAGTATACCAAACATTAGGAAGACCTTCCTAATATTGATATTGAGTTGCACCTTAAGAATCCTTCTTTAACCTGTCTCCTCCTCCCTGATTGACGTGGATTTAACAAGTGACATCAATAAGGGATCATAGCTTTAACCTGGTCAGTCTTTGTCATGGAAAGAGCAATTTTATTATTTCAGATTGTGACGTTGATACAAAGATGAGAATCCTGGTCCTTCTCTCCATCATAAGAACTGGAGTTCTCCTCTGCTGCCTGACCATCTTAATCATCATCTACACCACCAGGAAATAGATCAAGCTAAGGCCAGTGTCAATAGACTATAGCTGGGTTTTTGAGTAAAGTAGGAGATACTGTATCATCGCTATGTATTGCAAATTATTATTAATTGAGATTGCTTAGTTGCTCGTATTGCATTAGAAAAATATTAGCCTGTGACTTCTAATTCAATTGAGCATCATCATCCTTGCTTATGCAGTATGTGTTAATTGATTGAACTGATCTCCTGAAATCCCTGTGTACAGAATATGCCTTCTTTTTGCATTAATAAATATCTATTTAAACAACTGATACGGACTAAAATAGACTTCTTCCATCTCTTGGGTTCTGTACATACAGTATGCCTCTATGAATGTTTGTCCAGAGGGCTTCTGCAGAGACTACCTACTGTTACCATATTAAACCCACCCACGCATCATGCACTCAGTGAGCTGTTGACAGGAATCTGAACACTTTGGTCTGCTGTGAGCTCAAAACGACGCCGTCTCTACGCTTTGGATAGGCCTGGTTGGCCTTTCACTCACTATGTAGTTTCAGCAGGAAATTTATGTGGTGTCAATGTTTTTTCTCTCATGCTTACATTGTTGATCAGAACCATAACAATTAGAAACACAGTCCACTGACACTACTGCATACCATATAGCCTCTATCTCATCACATGGGCCAGTTTCCCAGACACAGATTAAGCCTAGTCCTGGACTAAAAAGCATGTTCATGTTCATTCTTGAACTACGATAATTGATTTACAGAGTTTAAAGTAGAAGTTGTATCAATGTATACTAGGCTACAGCTAAGAGCCCTATCCACCCAGGTACACCCCTGACCCCTACTAAACTATCAGGTGTTACACTTCAGTTAGAGCATGATTCTGTGAATGATAGGTAATGAGACTGATATAAAATAGACTTGTTTTATCCTGTAAGTGATTCCCCCATATACAGTCATAATGCTCCACCCCTGTTCACCCTGGTACATATCGAGTCTGTTCTATGTATAACAGTCCTCCTATAGGTCATCAGGAGAACCGTAACTAATGCATGTGGTGGGGCCAAGTCTATCACAACTCTATCACAACTAAGTTTGATACCAAGAGCATATAAAAGTACATACTTTATATGTAATGTTTGCTTGAAAATGTACTGCATTGCTTACCAGACAGCAGTATTACTTTAAACCCATTTTACTGATGGACATTTATATTTCTCTTTCCACACTGCAACCTCAGGATTGGACATCTTTGTCCAGACAGTGCTTGAAAACTACAAAAAACCATTTTTTTTTTAAATGTCATCATCATCAAGACACGAAAAAGTGTTATTTTATTTTTTGTATTTTTTCATTTCACCTTTATTTAACCAGGTAAACCAGTTGAGAACAAGTTCTCATTTACAACTGCGACCTGGCCAAGATAAAGCAAAGCAGTGCAATAAATACAACAACACCGAGTTACATACAGTGGGGAAAAAAAGTATTTATTCAGCCACCAATTGTGCAAGTTCTCCCACTTAAAAAGATGAGAGAGGCCTGTAATTTTCATCATATGTACACGTCAACTATGACAGACAAAATGAGAAAAATAATTCCAAAAAATCACATTGTAGGATTTTTAATGAATTTATTTGCAAATTATGGTGGAAAATAAGTATTTGGTCAATAACAAAAGTTTCTCAATACTTTGTTATATACCCTTTGTTGGCAATGACACAGGTCAAACGTTTTCTGTAAGTCTTCACAAGGTTTTCACACACTGTTGCTGGTATTTTGGCCCATTCCTCCATGCAGATCTCCTCTAGAGCAGTGATGTTTTAGGGCTGTCGCTGGGCAACACGGACTTTCAACTCCCTCCAAAGATTTTCTATGGGGTTGAGATCTGGAGACTGGCTAGGCCACTCCAGGACCTTGAAATGCTTCTTACGAAGCCACTCCTTCGTTGCCCGGGGTGTGTGTTTGGGATCACTGTCATGCTGAAAGACCCAGCCACGTTTCATCTTCAATGCCCTTGCTGATGGAAGGAGGTTTTCACTCAAAATCTCACGATACATGGCCCCTTTCATTCTTTCCTTTACACGGATCAGTCGTCCTGATCCCTTTGCAGAAAAACAGCCCCAAAGCATGATGTTTCCACCCCCATGCTTCACAGTAGGTATGGTGTTGTTTGGATGCAACTCAGCATTCTTTGTCCTCCAAACACGACGAGTTGAGCTTTTACCAAAAAGTTATATTTTGGTTTCATCTGAACATATGACATTCTCCCAATCCTCTTCTGGATCATCCAAATGCACTATAGCAAACTTCAGACGGGCCTGGACATGTAATGGCTTAAGCAGGGGGACACGTCTTGCACTGCAGGATTTGAGTCCCTGGCGGCGTAGTATGTTACTGATGGTAGGCTTTGTTACTTTGGTCCCAGCTCTCTGCAGGTCATTCACTAGGTCCCCCCGTGTGGTTCTGGGATTTTTGCTCACCGTTCTTGTGATCATTTTGACCCCACGGGGTGAGATCTTGCGTGGAGCCCCAGATCGAGGGAGATTATCAGTGGTCTTGTATGTCTTCCATTTCCTAATAATTGCTCCCACAGTTGATTTCTTCAAACCAAGCTGCTTACCTATTGCAGATTCAGTCTTCCCAGCCTGGTGCAGGTCTACAATTTTGTTTCTGGTGTCCTTTGACAGCTCTTTGGTCTTGGCCATAGTGGAGTTTGGAGTGTGACTGTTTGAGGTTGTGGACAGGTGTCTTTTATACTGATAACAAGTTCAAACAGGTGCCATTAATACAGGTAACGAGTGGAGGACAGAGGAGCCTCTTAAAGAAGAAGTTACAGGTCTGTGAGAGCCAGAAATCTTGCTTGTTTGTAGGTGACCAAATACTTATTTTCCACCATAATTTGCAAATAAATTTATTAAAAATCCTACAATGTGATTTTCTGGAGAAAAAATTCTCTATTTGTCCGTCATAGTTGACGTGTACCTGTGATGAAAATTACAGGCCTCTCTCATCTTTTTAAGTGGGAGAACTTGCACAATTGGTGGCTGACTAAATACTTTTTTTCCCCACTGTATGGGGTAAAACAAAAAAACATATAAAGTCAAAAATACAAAAGAAAATAGAAAATATATATACAGTGTGTGCAAATGTAGCATGTTATGGAGATAAGGATATAAATAGGCTATAGTGCAAAATAATTACAATTAATATTAACACTGGAATGCTAGATGTGCAAGAGATGATGTGCAAATAGTGGGGTGCAAATGAGCAAACTAAATAACAACATGGGGATGAGGTAGTTGGGTGGGCTAATTTCAGATGGGCTGTGTACAGGTGCAGTGATCGGTAAGGTGCTCTGACAACTGATGCTTAAAGTTAGTGAGGGATATAAGAGTTTCCAGCTTCAGAGATTTTTGCAGTTCGTCCCAGTCATTGGCAGCAGAAAACTGGAAGGAATGGCAGCCAAAGGAGGTGTTGGCTTTGGGGATGACCAGTGAGATATACCTGCTGGAGCGCATACTACGGGTGAGTGTTGCTATGGTGACCAGTGAGCTAAGATAAGACGGGGATTTGCCTAGCAGTGATTTATAGATGGCCTGGATCCAGTGGGTTTGGCGACGAATATGTAGTGAGTACCAACCAACAAGAGCTTACAGGTCACAGTGGTGGGTAGTATATGGGGCTTTGGTGACAAAACGGATGGCACTGTGATAGACTACATCCAATTTGCTGAGTAGAGTGTTGGAGGCTATTTTGTAAATGACATCACCGAAGTCAAGGATCGGTAGGATAGTCAGTTTTACGAGGGCATGTTTGGCAGCATGAGTGAAGGAGGCTTTGTTGCGAAATAGGAAGCCGATTCTGGATTTAACTTTGGATTGGAGATGCTTAATGTGAGTCTGGAAGGAGAGTTTACAGTCTAACCAGACACCTAGGTATTTGTAGTTGTCCACATACTCTAGGTCATACCCATCGAGAGTAGTGATTCTAGTCGGGTGGGCGGGTGCCAGCAGCGTTCGATTGAAGAGCATGCATTTAGTTTTACTCGTGTTTAAGAGCAGTTGGAGGCTACGGAAGGAGTGTTGTATGGCGCTGAAGCTCGTTTGGAGGTTTGTTAACACAGTGTCCAATGAAGGGCCAGATGTATACAAAATGGTGTCATCTGCGTAGAGGTGGATCTGAGAATCACCAGCAGCAAGAGCGACATCATTGATATACACAGAGAAAAGAGTCGGCCCAAGAATTTAACCCTGTGCAACCCCCATAGAGACTGCCATAGGTTCAGAAAACAGGCCCTCCGATTTGACACATTGAATTCTAGCTGAGAAGTAGTTGGTGAACCAGGCGAGGCAGTCATTTGAGAAACCAAGGCTATTTTGTCTGCCAATAAAAATGCGGAGGTTGACAGAGTCGAAAGCCTTGGCCAGGTCGATGAAGACGGCTGCACAATACTGTCTATTATCGATCGTGGTTATAATATCGTTTAGGACCTTGAGCGTGGCTGAGGTGCACCCATGACCAGCTCGGAAACCGGATTGCATAGCGGAGAAGGTACGGTGTGATTCAAAATGGTCGGTGATCTGTTTGTTAACTTAGTTTTCAAAAACTTTCGAAAGGCAGGGCAGGATGGATATACAGTGGGGGAAAAAAGTATTTAGTCAGCCACCAATTGTGCAAGTTCTCCCACTTAAAAAGATGAGAGAGGCCTGTAATTTTCATCATAGGTACACGTCAACTATGACAGACAAAATGAGGAAAAAAAATCCAGAAAATTACATTGTAGGATTTTTAATGAATTTATTTGCAAATTATGGTGGAAAATAAGTATTTGGTCACCTACAAACAAGCAACATTACTGGCTCTCACAGACCTGTAACTTCTTCTTTAAGAGGCTCCTCTGTCCTCCACTCGTTACCTGTATTAATGGCACCTGTTTGAACTTGTTATCAGTATAAAAGACACCTGTCCACAACCTCAAACAGTCACACTCCAAACTCCACTATGGCCAAGACCAAAGAGCTGTCAAAGGACACCAGAAACAAAATTGTAGACCTGCACCAGGCTGGGAAGACTGATTCAGCAATAGGTAAGCAGCTTGGTTTGAAGAAATCAACTGTGGGAGCAATTATTAGGAAATGGAAGACATACAAGACCACTGATAATCTCCCTCGATCTGGGGCTCCACGCAAGATCTCACCCCGTGGGGTCAAAATGATCACAAGAACGGTGAGCAAAAATCCCAGAACCACACGGGTGGACCTAGTGAATGACCTGTGGTCCTCTGTAGCTCAGCTGGTAGAGCACGGCGCTTGTAACGCCAAGGTAGTGGGTTCGATCCCCGGGACCACCCATACACAAAAATGTATGCACGCATGACTGTAAGTCGCTTTGGATAAAAGCGTCTGCTAAATGGCATATTATATTATTATTATTATACCTGCAGAGAGCTGGGACCAAAGTAACAAAGCCTACCATCAGTAACACACTACGCCGCCAGGGACTCAAATCCTGCAGTGTCAGACGTGTCCCCCTGCTTAAGCCAGTACATGTCCAGGCCCGTCTGAAGTTTGCTAGAGTGCATTTGGATGATCCAGAAGAGGATTGGGAGAATGTCATATGGTTAGATGAAACCAAAATAGAACTTTCTGGTAAAAACTCAACTCGTCGTGTTTGGAGGACAAAGAATGCTGAGTTTGCATCCAAAGAACACCATACCTACTGTGAAGCATGGGGGTGGAAACATCATGCTTTGGGGCTGTTTTTTCTGCAAAGGGACCAGGACGACTGATCCGTGTAAAGGAAAGAATGAATGGGGCCATGTATCGTGAGATTTTGAGTGAAAACCTCCTTCCATCAGCAAGGGCATTGAAGATGAAACGTGGCTGGGTCTTTCAGCATGACAATGATCCCAAACACACCGCCCGGGCAACGAAGGAGTGGCTTCGTAAGAAGCATTTCAAGGTCCTGGAGTGGCCTAGCCAGTCTCCAGATCTCAACCCCATAGAAAATCTTTGGAGGGAGTTGAAAGTCCGTGTTGCCCAGCGACAGCCCCAAAACATCACTGCTCTAGAGGAGATCTGCATGGAGGAATGGGCCAAAATACCAGCAACAGTGTGTGAAAACCTTGTGAAGATACGATTTGCTTGTCATGCCAGGCGTTGAAACGTTTGATCCAGCAGTTCATGGATTTCTGATTTTTCTCCAAGTGACGTGTACTATGATGAAATTACGGCCTCTCTCTTTTTAGGGGAGAACTTGACCATTGGTGGCACAATGCTTTTTTCCACTGTAGGTCTCTGAACAGTTTGGATCAGATGTGTCACCCCCTTTGAAGAGGGGGATGACCACGGCAGCTTTCCAATCTCTGGGGATCTCAGACATTACGAACAGAGGTTGAACAGGCTAGTAATAGGGGTTGCGCCAATTTCGGGTCCAGATTGTCTAGCCCAGATGATTTGTAGGGGTCCAGATTTTGCAGCTCTTTCAGAACATCAGCTGTCTGAATTTGTGTGAAGGAGAAATGGGGGGGCATGGGCAAGTTGCAGCGGAGGGTGCAGAGCTGGTGGCCGGGGTAGTGGTAGCCAGGTGGAAAGCAAGGCCAGCCGTAGCAAAATGCTTGTTGAAATTCTCGATTATTGTAGATTTATCGGTGGTGATAGTGTTTCCTAGCTTCAGTGCAGTGGTCAGCTGGGAGGAGGTGCTCTTATTCTCCATGGACTTTACAGTGTCCCAAAACTTTTTGGAGTCAGTGCTACAGGATACACATTTCTGTTTGAAAAAGCTAGCCTTTGCTTTCCTAACTGCTTGTGTATATTGGTTCCTAGCTTCCCTGAAAAGTTGCATGTCGTGGGGGCTATTCGATGCTAATGCAGTACGCCACAGGACGTTTTTGTGCTGGTCAAGGGCAGTCAAGTCTGAGGAGAACCAGGGGCTATATCTGTTCTTAGTTCTGAATTTATTGAACGGGCATGCTTATTTAAGATTGAGAGGAAAGCACTTTTAAAGAACAACCAGCCATCCTCTACTGACGGAATGAGATCGATATCCATCCAGGATACCTGGGCCAGGTCAATTAGGAAGGCCTGCTCGCTAAAGTGTTTTCGGGAGCGTTTGACAGTGATGAGGGGTGGTCGTTTGACCGCGGACCCATTACGGACGCAGGCAGTAAGGCAGTGATCGCTGAGATCCTGGTTGAAGACAGCAGAGGTGTATTTAGAGGGTAAGTTAGTCAGGATGATATCTATAAGGGTGCCCATGTTTACGGACTTAGGGTTGTACCTGGTAGGTTCCTTGATAATTTGTGTGAGATTGAGGGCATCTAGTTTGGATTGTAGGATGGCCAGGGTGTTAAGCATATCCCAGTTTAGGTCACCAAGCAGTACGAACTCTGAGGATAGATGGGGGGCAATCAATTCACATATGGTGTCCAGGGCAAGCGGCAACAGTGAGAGTGTCACGATCGTCGTAATGAGCGGACCAAGACGCAGCGTGATATGCGTACATTCTTATTTATTAAGTACACCACGAACAAAAACAATAAACGATACGTGAAGTCCAAGGTTAACAAACACAAACCTTACACGGAACAAGATCCCACAAATGACAAGTGCACAACAGGCTGCCTAAGTTGAGTCCCAATCAGAGACAACAAGACACAGCTGCCTCCGATTGGGAACCACCCCGGCCAACACAGAAATACACAATCTAGAAAAGAACACATAGAAAACAAAACATAGACACTACACATAGAAACTAACACCCTGGCTCAACATATAAGAGTCCCCAGAGCCAGGACGTGACAGAGAGACTTATTTCTGGAAAGGTGGATTTTTAGAAGTAGGAGCTCAAACTGTTTTGGGCACAGACCTGGATAGTATGATAGAGCTCTGCAGGCTCTCTCTACAGTAGATTACAACTCTGCCCCCTTTGGCAGTTCTATCTAGACGGAAAATGTTGTAGTTTGGGATGGACATTTCTGAATTTTTGGTGGCCTTCCTAAGCCATGATTCAGACACTGCTAGAACATCAGGGTTGGCGGATTGTGCTAACGCAGTGAATAACTCAAACTTAGGGTGGAGGCTTCTGATGTTAACATGTAAAAAAAACAATGCTTTTACGGTTACAGAAGTCAACAAATGATAGCTCCTGGGGAGTAGGACTGATACTGGGGGCTGCAGGGCCTGGGTTAAGCTCTACATCACCAGAGGAACAGAGTAGGACTAGAATAAGTCTACGGCTAAAGGCTTTAAGAACTGGTCTTCTAGTGTGTTGGGTACAGAGAGTAAAGGGGGCAGATTTTCGGGCGTTGTAGAATAGATTCAGGGCATTATGTACAGACAAGGATATGGAAGGATATGAGTACAGTGGAGCTAAACCTAAGCGTTGGGTAACAATGAAAGAGATAGCATCACTGGAGGCACCGATTGAGCCGGTCTCCGCGAGTATGGGGGGTAGAACAAAGGAGCTATTTGAGGCAGTTTGAGAGGAGCTTGGGGCTTTATAGTGAAATTGTATAATACAAACTAACTGGAACAGAAATAGGCAAGGCATATTGACATGGGAGAGAGGCAAAAAGCAATCACAGGTGTTATTAGAGAGAGCTAAGACAACAACTGGTAATGCCGATGAAAGTTTGGGCTGAGGCTAAACAGATAAACAGGACAGGGTACCGTGTAAAGGAACAGTCCAGCAGGCATCAGCTGTGCAACTGAGTGATCATAAGGTCCATTGATCAGCAATATGTGAGTTCGATAGCAGTTCGAATTGGTGCTACAGCACTGGCTAGCAGGAAGCACGGCTGTTGTTTGTGTGTGCTAGCGGGCCGAGGCTAGCAGATGGATCTTCGTGGTCGTCGCAACTGGAAGCCTGTTGAAACCACAGACGATTACGTCGTCAGACCAGTCGTAATTGATCGGCGGGGCTCCGTGTCGACTGTGGGAGGACCCATCCGGTTGTCAGAGAGGTAGATAGCCGGGAGATGGGCCTGACTCGAGGCTGATTAGCCGACAACAACATCCATTTGGTTGCAGCTAGCTAGTTGCGATGATCTGGAGTTAAAGGTCCAGTGATTCAGTGATTCCGGCAGAAAAAAACGATATGTTCTGGGTCGATAACGCGCTGTGCAGACAGTGCAGACTGGCCGATAATAGTCCAGGCTAGAGCTGGCTGGTAGATAGTGCAGGCCATGGACAATGGTGAAAAACCACTAACGGGGGCTAATAGCAAGTAGCTAGTTAGCTGGCTACTCCCGTCCGGTAGATAGCCGGGATATGGGCCTGGCTCGAGGCTAGCTCAAGGCTAACTGGTGTTTGCTTCAGGGGCAGTGGTGATTAGCCAACAGCAACATCCATTTGGTTGCGGCTAGCTAGTTGCGATCCGGTGTTAATGTCCAGTGATTCAGTTATTCCGGCAGAAAATCTGATGTTCTGGGTGAAAACCGCTAACGGTGGCTAATAGCAAGTAGCTAGTTAGCTGGCTAGCATAGTTTCAACTGAAGATTCTAGATAAAAGGTAAGTCAATAATAGAATCCGTTCCACATTGAGTGAGGCGGGTTGCTGGAAAGTATATTTAGTAGAAGGATGATAAGTGTGATAGGGAAATATATACGAAAAATACTAAAAACTGGCTATTTACACGGACACACACATAGCACACGACCGCACTACTACGCCATCTTCTTCATCCAACCTGCACAAAATATCCTATACAGTAAGCATTGGTCCACTTTAAACATTGATTATATGGGGCGGCAGGTTGCTTAGTGTTTAAGAGCGTTGTGCTAGTAACCGAAAGGTCGCTGGTTCTAATCCCCGAGCCGACTAGGTGAAAAATCTGTCGATGTGCCCTTGAGCAAGGCACTTAACCCTAATTGCTCATGTAAGTCGCTCTGGATAAGAGCGTCTGCTAAAATGTAAATGTAAAATAAGAGTGATTTTTTGTTATGAAGACCATGGTGGCTAGAATAATGCAATTACAAAAATGATGCACGTGTCCAGTCTGACCAATCACCAATAAGCCCTTTGTAGAAGTGTTGTTTATATGGTAGACTTTGTCTACTCAAGACAGAGTTAGCAAAGATGATCATGGCATTGTGTTTGATACTGCCACTTCTCAGAGTGATGGGTAAGTCACACTTTAATATTTCTCTGCTTATAGGATTGTCGTGACGTGACTTACTTTAATGTATGACTGTTATTCATCGAATCAACCAACTATGTTTAATTGTCACTCGATTAAATTAATCATGTAACAATTAACTCATTGGGAATTTGGGGCAGCACGGAAGAAGTTGTTTAACGAGTTACCATCTCCTGAATTAAACTCTTAGAAGATATATATGTTATACATTGATAACAGCCACTTATTAAATAATTACCTCTTATCAGTCTCATTCTGAACGTCGCATAATCCTTGAACCTGCAAGAACCCTAACCTTATTGATGAATCAGCTATACACAAATTAGCTTAATTATTTATTTACTAACTAACTAAATAATAACACAATACAAACACACACACACATAGGTTATTGATTACTAACGTAATACAATGAAAACAGGTCCCTAGTGGACTGGACTAACAATGGCATGAATGCTTGGGAAGAAGGAGGGTCAGATTGGAAGAGATATTCAAACTATCGTGGTTACTTTGGAAACCACGCTACACGGAAATACAAATGCTTAAAACCCCACTAAACGCTAGAAATGCGACATGTATTTACGTGTAGCTGTCCTCGATAGTTGAGTTGATGATGTAGGACTCTGGTTTTCCCACCAGAGATCCCAATGCCCTTGGTAGCGTTTCTGGTCGTAGTGGTGGTTAGAATGGATACCAGCGAGTGGGATTGTCCTTCCCAACGTGTCTTTAGTGAAAGTTCTGCAGACGACTATACATGCCAGCTGCAGACTGAGATCATAAGGTCTAGTGCATTGTCTTCTTCTTCAACTCGTGTAGAGGTTGAGAGTTTCAGAGTTTCTCCATTTAAAACGTGTGGACTAACATCTCACGTTTTCTGGTCTAACCATTTGTAACGTGTAGCTTCAGCTTCACTCTTCTAGATCTTGTAGAAATTCCACCATTTGCAACATCCGGCTTGGTCTTCCTTTGGTAATGGAGTTGTCGTTTTAAACCATTTTGTAACGTTTAGCTCACGCTTCACGTCTGCTGGTCTAATGTTAATTTGTTTTTCAAGGCTTTTTATGCACTCGGGGTAAAAGGGGAACTGGGAAGTGTACACCCCAAGAGATACAGTTATGTTGTTCCACCATCTTTAATGACATCACAACATAGAAACAAATTTGACATGATTGTTCTTTAAGTCGCCACCGACCATATCCCACATTCGTAGGAATATTGCTTCATTATCCACTTTTGGATGTTGGAGTCTTGGCGGGAAGACTTCCTTTGTCTCACAGGGAAATTCCCTCTCCCAATACTGCATGGCATGGAAAAGAAAGTTTCTGCAAAGAATTTCCGACCGGTCATAAAACTGGCCACCAGGAAAGGGGGTGTTCAAACCTTTGTCTAACCGGCATCTTTGATCCTCAGCCCATGAGGGCAAGTCATGACAGGATGTATACCTTTATTGATACAATTCATACATGTTTATTGCAGTATATAATGAAATTCTGTACTTTTGTGTATTCTAGCTGCGTCACAATCTTCACACTTCATGTGTTCAACATAAGTTTAGTTAAGACCCACACCTTTATTTACTGACAAAAAAAACCTTCTTAGCAGGTTCAGGGTCCAGAAACACCACCGTTGTACAGCTGCCTGTGTCTGAGTCAGTCCAGCCAGGAGACTCTGTGACTCTGAACTGTACAAAACAAACTGAGACCTGTGCAGGAGAACACAGTGTCTATTGGTTCAGACATGGCTCAGGAGAATCAATTTACATTACATTTTCGTCATTTAGCAGACGCTCTTATTCAGAGCGACTTACAGTTAGTGAGTGCATACATTTTTCATATTTTTCATATTTTCAGAATCCCATCTAGGAATCATTTACATCCATGGAGACTGGAATGATCAGTGTGAGAAGAGTCCTGAGGCTGGGTCTCCTACACAGAGCTGTGTCTACAACCTCCCCAAGAGGAACCTCAGCCTCTCTGATGCTGGGACATAGTACTGTGCTGTGGCCTCAAGTGGGGGAGATACTGTTCGGGAGCGGGACCAAGCTGGACATTCAAGGTCATTTCTTTCACTTATTTCACCAATTTACCATTACAGAGTTTTATAGGAGGCATACTTGTAACCTGTATGGTAATATAAAATGTACTATTACCTGATATTCCGCCAATAAAACGTGTTATTGACAAGATGTAAATCATCAAAACCTTTGACTCCTACGGCTCTTGCACAGGTCACATCAAACATTGTTTTTGTGATTGTCGTCTTTCTACTGACATGAGGCATGGAAAGGACCAGAGGGCTTAACGGTACAGAACATGCATATTAATACTTACTAACAGTCTAACTGTTATGTAATGTTTCACAGTAATGTTTGACAATGTCTCTGTGTGAATAGAAAATATACATTGAGTCTATTAAACATTAGAATAACCTGCTCTATCCATGGCATAGACTGACCAGGTGAATCCAGGCGACAGCTAGGATCCCTTATTGATGTCACCTGTTAAATCCACTAAAATCAGTGTAGATGAAGGGGAGGAGACAGGTTAAAGAAGGATTTTTAAGCCTTTAGACAATTGAGACATGGATTGTGTACAATATGTGTGCCATTCAGAGGGTGAATGGGCAAGACAAAATATTTAAGTGCCTTTGAACGGGGTATGGTAGTAGATGCCAGGTGCACTGGTTTGGTGCAACAAAAAAGGGTGCAACTAAATATTAGGACAGTGTACTGTGTTCCATTTCAATAAGATTTATTGTGTTCTGTACTTAATATCATTTTTTACTTCCTGTTTTTATTCTGAACCATCAACTGATAGATCACCAACCCCACCAGTCAATCAGATAAATTTTAGCACATCATTTCACCCCATATCAAAATGGTTCATGTAGTGGATGTAACCAGTCAAATGTATTGTTTATGACTCCACCTCTCACATAGCACCAAGAGAGGGACGTTTTGAACTATGCTGCTGTGAGTTTCAGCCCCAAGAAGAACTCCTCTTCCTCCTCCAGAGGAGCAAGAGAGAAGACCAGACCTTCAGCAGGAGTGAGAGATATCTCCACTGTCACAAATACTCCAAGTAGAACCATTTTGTGATTTGTAGCCTAATAAAACTGCTTTAACTAAGTGAAATTAATAAACTATAATTTTATATGATGATCCTATAATGCCTAAAATGTTGAAACCTTTACATTGTGCTTTTAATCGACAGACATTATATCATAGAGGATCCCTTGTTTGCTGTATGATTGTGTATTTAACATAATAAACTATTATTTGTCTCCACACATCTCTGTTTTCTCTCTAAAGTACATATATGTTACCAGAGATACAATAGGATTAAAAGGAATAGCAGTTTAGCTGAATGTGTGTCAGGCTCCAAAATTGAGCTCAGATGTTGAGCTCAGATACATGCTGTTTCCATTGTAATCCTTTATATGTTTCCAGAACTTGATTGGAGTCCACCTGTGGTAAATTCAATCGATTGGACATGATTTGGAAAGGCACAGCTATCTATATAAGGTCCCACAGTTGACAATGCATGTCAGAGCAAAAACCGTATTCAATATAGCACTGAGACAGGATTTTGTGGAAGCACAGGTCTGGGGAAGGGTACCAAAACATTTCTGCAGCATTGAAGGTCCCCAAGAACACACAGTGGCCTCCATCATTTTTAAATGGAAGAAGTTTGGAACCACCAAGACTCTTTCTAAACAGTATTCAGACCCTTTACTCAGTACTTTGTTGAAGCACCTTTGACAGCAATTACAGCACTAAGACTTCTTGGGTATGACGCTACAAGCTTGGCAAACCTGTATTTGGGGAATTTCTCCCATTCTTCTCTGCAGATCCTCTCAAGCTCTGTCAGGTTTGATGGGGAGCATCGCTGCACAGCTATTTTCAGGTCTCTCCAGAGATGTTTGATCGGGTTCAAGTCCAGGCTCTGGCTGGGCCACTCAAGGACATTGAAAGACCACTCCTGTGTTGTCTTGGCTGTGTGCTTTGGGTTGTTGTCCTGTTGGAAGGTGAACCATTGCCTCAGTCTGAGGTCCTGAGCGCTCTGGAGCAGATTTTCATCAAGGATCTGTTTGTACTTTGCTCCATTCGTCTTTCCGTCAATCCTGATTAGTCTCCCAGTCCCTGCCGCTGAAAAACATCCCCACAGCATGATGCTGCCACCACCATGCTTCACCGTAGGGATGGTGCCAGGTTTCCTCCAGACGAGATGCTTGGCATTCAGGCCAAAGAGTTCAATCTTGGTTTCATCAGACCAGAGAATCTTGTTTCTGTCTTTGGGTGCCTTTTGGAAAACCCCAAGCGGACTGTCATGTGCCTTTTACTGAGGAGTGTCTTCCGTCTGGCCACTACCATAAAGGCCTGATTGGTGTAGTGCTGCAGAGATGGTTGTCTTCTGGAAGGTTCTCCCATCTCCACTGAGGATCTCTGGAGCTCTGTCAGAGTGACCATTGGGTTCTTGGTCACATCCCTGATCAAGGACCTTCTCCCCCGATTGCTGAGTTTGGCCAGGCAGCCAGCTCTAGGAAGAGTCTTGGTGGTTCCACACTTCTTCCATTTAAGAATGATGGAGGCCACTGTGTTCTTGGGGACCTTCAATGCTGCAAAAATGTCTAAAAACCTTTATGGGGTATTGTATGTAGATTGATGAGGATTTTATTTTATTTTATCCATTTTAGAATAAGGCTGTAATGTAACAAAATGTGGAAAAGGGAAGGGGTCTGAACATTTTCAGAATGCACTGTAGGTCAACTTTTTTACTATGGGGGATAGTAGATTGACATTGGCTAGTGCTTTTGCTGTTCGTTAGGCCTACCCATCTTGTTGGCTGACGAAAAGTAAATGTGGACAGTTCTTACAATATCTTCAATATGCGCCTCAAATTGGATAAGGACGCGCAGTTGTGTCCCCGATGTGTCTATCTTCACTTGTAGCCTGTGAGAAAGACCCGATCACATGAATGAGAGCCATGTGAGTGAGAGGTGCTTCAGCAAGCAGCCGGGAGAAGGGAATTATAATTTGTATATTCAGCCCAAGTGCACAACGGCCATTGGCCGCAAAAGGGGATGCAGCCAGGAAATTCGAGGCATTATCAAGTGCTTGTCAAATAGTGAATGAGAGACTAATGAAGTGTGTACAACCTGCGCAAAGAAATGAAGCAGAGCTCATGCCTTTCATGCGTCTTTTTTCAAATCATCATTAGAGTCACATCATGCAGCCTTAGAATGTATTACAAATCTAAACATATAGCTCAACATTTGTATCACAACTAAAATTGCATAAATAACTCTAAATTAAGCATATAGGAGTACCTGTTTCTTTGTTAACTGCTCAAGACAGAATAGCCAAATGTGCGCATTCCCTCATATCGTTTGGAGAAAATATCCTTTCTATTGTATTCAGCTATGTTCAATTGTATTCTTTATATTAGAAAATAATATAAAATAATGCCAAGGAATTCTAAATGAACTAGTGTGGCCCACAGCCATATCGCATAGCCAGATCAGGGCCTAACATAAGGACAACTCAGAGTATGCTATTCTGTTCTTCTGAAATAGACCTCATTTTCTTCATATCATGTTTCTTTAGATCTGTCTAAAATAAATAATGGATCTATTGTAATGGTGTAGGCTATATTACATGGATTTATTTGACTTTTTTAAATGTAGATGTTCCAAAGGTCTACATCGGTGGCTTGTAGGCTATGCGTGGAAGCCAGGAGATGCTAAATGTGTTTATGTTAATTAACGGTCAATTACCGTGAGACCAGCAGTTATTTGCTTGACAGTCACCTGCTGACAACATTTCATGACCGCCACAGCCCTACCTGAGCCATGTCTGAACCAATAGGCACTGTGTTCTCCTACACAGGTCTCAGTGTGTACAGTTCAGAGTCACAGAGTCTCCTGGCTGGACTGACTGGACTGACTCAGACACAGACTGCTCTACAAATGTCTTGCTGTTGGAGCCTGAATCTGAAAGAGGGTTTAAATATGCCATTAAATCTGTGTTAGATATCTACAACTTCCCCGTAGCAAGAGTTCTTACTCAATGAGAGAATCATCAGAATGTGAGAATACCTGATATTTACTTTAAGACGCTTAAAAAAAAAAAAGTAACAATGTTTTTTCTTAGGCTAACTCGTCACTACTCTTTATCTACAAATTGAGATTTTCCCTGAAAATATTTAAGTATATTGAAATAATTTATTCTCAATACTGTACCTTTTATATTGAGGATGGTTCCTTTTCCAAATTCCATCACATTTGAGTGTGCGCTCCCACAGTAGTACGTGGCTGAATCCGAGCTTTTCATGTCTGAGATGCTGAGGTGATTTATTTCTTACCCGCTTTGCACTGAAAAGCGAGGGTTACCCTTGGACTCATGGTAAAATGTAGGAGCGCCTTGTCATACTTATAGATGGTTGAGATGACCTGAGGTTTTTCTCCCAAGGGTTGCTTGTACCAGGAGAAATGCATGGCTAAGTCGCCTTTATAGAAGTGCTACAAAGTCACTGTGTCCCCAACATTGGCTGACATGAGACCACTCTCCTGTTGTATGGCTGAGGGCATGTTAAGTATATATATTTGTTTTTCTTACTCAGCCACTTTTAGCCATAGCGTTCATCAGGGAGCACAATGATACAATGACCACTCTCCTGGAATCAACCAATCACGAGTTCGTGCATGAACTACAACAAAAGAAAAGACAACATCTTATACAAATATATTAACTGTTATATATACATTAAAATACAAGATTGGAATGCCTCAAAGTGTCTGGGACTTTTAATAAAAATGTATTGTATCATTGTACTCCCTGATGAAGGCTATGGCTAAAAGTGGCTGAGTAAAAATTGTTATATATATCAAATCAAATCAAATCACATTTTATTTGCCACATGCGCCAAATACAACAGGTGTAGACATTACCGTGAAATGCTTACTTACAGCCCTTAACCAACAATGCATTTATCTTTCAAAAAAGTGTTGAGAAAAAAAGAGCAGCAGTACAATAAAATAACAGTAGGGAGGCTATATACAGGGGGTTACCGGTGCAGAGTCAATGTGCGGGGGCACCGGCTAATTGAGATAGTTGAGGTAATATGTACATGTGGGTAGAGTTAAAGTGACTATGCATCAATAATTAACAGAGTAGCAGCAGTGTAAAAAGATGGGGTGGAGGTGGGGGGGCAGGACAAATAGTCCGGATAACCATTATTAGCTGTTCAGGAGTCTTATGGCTTGTGGGTAGAAGCTGTTGAGAAGCCTTTTGGATCTAGACTTGGCGCTCCGGTATCGCTTGCCGTGCGGTAGCAGAGAGAACAGTCTATGACTAGGGAGGCTGGAGTCTTTGACAATTCTGAGGGCCTTCCTCTGACACCGCCTGGTATAGAGGTCCTGGATGGCAGGAAGCTTGGCCCCAGTGATGTACTGGGCCGTAAGCACTACCCTCTGTAGTGCCTTGTGGTCGGAGGCCGAGCAGTTGCCATACCAGGCGGTGATGCAACCAGTCAGGATGGTCTCGATGGTGCAGCTGTATAACTTTTTGAGGATCTGAGGACCCATGCCAAATCTTTTCAGTCTCCTGAGGGGGAATAGGCTTTGTCGTGCCCTCTTCACGACTGTCTTGGTGTGTTTGGACCATGATAGTTCGTTGGTGTGTGGACACCAAGGAACTTGAAGCTCTCAACCTGTTCCACTACAGCCCCGTCGATGAGAATGGGGTGTGCTCAGTCCTCTTTTTTTCCCTGTAGTCCACAATCATCTCCTTTGTCTTGGTCACGTTGAGGGAGAGGTTGTTATCCTGGCACCACATGGCCAGGTCTCTGACCTCCTCCCTAAAAGCTGTCTCATCATTGTCGGTGATCAGGCCTACCACTGTTGTGTCATCAGCAAACTTAATGATGGTGTTGGAGTCGTGCCTGGCCATGCATTCATGGGTGAACTGGGAGTACAGGAGGGGACTGAGCACGCACCCCTGAGGGGCCCCCATGTTGAGGATCAGCGTGGCAGATGTGTTGTTACCTACCCTTACCACCTGGGGGCGGCCTGTCAGGAAGTCCAGGATCCAGTTGCAGAGGGAGGTGTTTAGTCCCAGGATCCTTATCTTAGTGATGAGCTTTGAGGGCACTATGGTGTTGAACGCTGAGCTGTAGTCAATGAATAGCATTCTCACGTAGGTGTTCCTCTTGTCCAGGTGGGAAAGGGCAGTGTGGAGTGCAATAGAGATTGCATCATCTGTGGATCTGTTGGGGCAGTATGCAAATTGGAGTGGGTCTAGGGTTTCTGGGATAATGGTGTTGATGTGAGCCATGACCAGCCTTTCAAAGCACTTCATGGCTACAGACGTCAGTGCCACGGGTCGATAGTCATTTAGGCAGGTTATCTTAGTGTCCTTGGGCACGGGGACTATGGTGGTCTGCTTGAAACATGTTGGTATTACAGACTCAGTCAGAGACATGTTGATCACATAGTCATCTGGAACAGCTAGTGCTCTCATGCATGCTTCAGTGTTGCTTGCCTCGAAGCGAGCATAGAAGTGGTTTAGCTCGTCTGGTAGGCTTGTGTCACTGGGCAGCTCGCGGCTGTGCTTCCCTTTGTAGTCTGTAATAGTTTTCAAGCCCTGCCACATCTGACGAGCGTCAGAGCCGGTGTAGAACGATTCAATCTTAGTCCTGTATTGACTCTTTGCCTGTTTGATGGTTTGTCGGAGGGCATAGCGGGATTTCTTATAAGCTTCCGGGTTAGAGTCCCGCTCCTTAAAAGCGGCAGCTCTACCCTTTAGCTCAGTGCGGATTTTGCCTGTAATCCATGGCTTCTGGTTGGGGTATATACGTATGGTCACTGTGGGGACGACGTCATCGATGCACTTATTGATGAAGCCAGTGACTGATGTGGTGTACTCCTCAATGCTATCTGAAGAATCCCGGAACATATTCCAGTCTGTGCTAGCGAAACAGTCCTGTAGCTTAGTATCTGCGTCATCTGACCACTTTCTTCATTAATCAAGTCACTGGTGCTTCTTGCTTTAGTTTTTGCTTATAAGCAGGAATCAGGAGGATAGAGTTATGGTCAGATTTGCCAAATGGTGGGCGAGGGAGAGCTTTGTATGCGTCTCTGTGTGTGGAGTAAAGGTGGTCCAGAGTTTTTTTCACTCTGGTTGCACATTTAACATGCTGGTAGAAATTAGGTAGAACGGATTTAAGTTTCCCTGCATTAAAGTCCCCGGCCACTAGGAGCGCTGCCTCTGTATGAGCATTTTCCTGTTTACTTTTGGCCTTATACAGCTCATTGAGTGCAATCTCAGTTCCAGCATTGGTTTGTGGTGGTAGATAGACAGCTACGAAAAATATAGATGAAAACTCTCTTGGTAATAGTGTGGTCTACAGCTTATCATGAGATACTCTACCTCAGGCGAGCAAAACATCGATACTTCCTTAGTATTAGATTTTATGCACCAGCTGTTGTTTACAAATATACACAGACCGCCACCCCTTGTCTTACCGGAGTCAGCCGTTCTATCCTGCCGATGTTGCGTATATCCCGCCAGCTGTATGTTATCAATGTCGTCGTTCAGCCACGACTCGGTGAAACATAAGCTATTACAGTTTTGATTGTCCTGTTGGTAGGATAACCTTAATCGTAGGTCGTCCAATTCCTTCCTTTTGCGAAGGCGAAATAAAAACCTGCCGCGCTCTGCGCGTCAATCTATACCTTTTTCTCCCTGAGTATTCATTACAATTTTAACACCAATAAACCCACCCGTTTAAAAATGAATTTAGTATATGTCAATCTAGCAAACCAGGCAACTAAAAGCAACTTTCTAAACAATGTTTTGGTTAGTTTCTAGCTTGTTAAGTTAGCTGGCTAGCCAGTTCAAATAATGACCATATCATATAGCTGACAACATTTTAACTTTAACTAATTTGTATTCATTATTACAGGAAAATTAAATCACAGCAAAATCGTTAATGGCGAGCTAATTACAGAAAATAGCTTACGGTTGTGTGTGACGATATAAAAGCAGGGCATTATACCGGAGAATTTTAGAACATGGACACTGTTTCGTTGGCCAAAAATTATATCCTAATTTTACTTTGCTGAAGGTCATGTTCTTCTTCACATTACTGTCTCTGGTAAACAAACACTATATCACATAAAATCTACGTTTATTTGGCACATGCACAGGATACCGACGGTGTAAACGATGCAGTGAAATGGTTACTTGCATAGTGGAGTCTTTTGTTTACACATGTAGCCAGCTAGATACAGCTGAAGTCTGAAGTTTACATACACCTTAGCCAATTACATTTAAACTCAGTTTTTCACAATTCCTGACATTTAATCCTAGTAACAATTCCCTGTTTTAGGTCAGTTAGGATTACCACTTTATTTTAAGAATGTGAAACGGCAGAATAATAGTAGAGATAATTATTTATTTCAGATTTTCTTTCTTTCATCACATTCCCAGTGGGGGTCAGAAGTTTACATACACTCAATTAGTATTTGGTAGCATTGCCTTTAAATTGTTTAATTTGGGTCAAACGTTTCGGGTAGCCTTCCACAAGCTTCCCACAATAAGTTGGGGAATGTTTGCCCATTCCTCCTGACAGAGCTGGTGTAACTGAATCAGGTTTGTAGGCCTCCTTGCTCGCACACGCTTTTTCAGTTCTGCCCACACATTTTCTATAGGATTGAGGTCAGGGCTTTGTGATGGCCACTCCAATACCTTGACTTTGTTTTCCTTAAGCCATTTTGCCACAACTTTGGAAGTATGCTTGTGGTCATTGTCCATTTGGAAGACCCATTTGCGACCAAGCTTTAACTTCCTGACTGATGTCTTGAGATGTTGCTTCAATATATCCACATAATTTTCCTTCCTCATGATGCCATCTATTTTGTGAAGTGCAACAGTCCCTCTTGCAGCAAAGCACCCCCACAGCATGATGCTGCCACCCCTGTGCTTCACGGTTGGGATGGTGTTCTTCAGCTTGCAAGCAACCCCCTTTTTCCTCCAAACATAATGATGGTCATTATGGCCAAACAGTTCTATTTTTGTTTCATCAGACCAGAGGTCATTTCTCCAAAAAGTATGATATTTGTCCACATGTGCAGTTGCAAACCACAGTCTGGCTTTTTTTATGGCGGTTTTGGAGGAGTGGCTTCTTCCTTGCTGAGCGGCCTATCAGGTTATGTCGATATAGGACTCGTTTGACTGTGGATATAGATACTTTTCTACCTGTTTCCTCCAGCATGTTCACAAGGTCCTTTGCTGTTGTTCTGGGATTGATTTGCACTTTTCGCACCAAAGTACGTTCATCTCTAGGAGACAGAATGCGTCTCCTTCCTGAGCGGTATGATGGCTGCGTGGTCCAATGGTGTTTATACTTGCGTACTATTGTTTGTACAGATGAACATGGTACCGTCATTCATTTGGAAATTGCACCCAAGGATGAACCAGACTTGTGGAGGTCTACAATTTATTTTCTGAGGTCTTGGCTGATTTCTTTTGATTTTCCCATGATGTCAAGCAAAGAGGCACTGAGTTTGAAGGTAGGCCTTGAAATAAATCCACAGGTACACCACCAATTGACTCAAATTATGTCAAGTAGCCTATCAGAAGCTTCTAAAGCCATGACATCATTTTCTGGAATTTTTCAAGCTGTTTAAAGGCACAGTCAACTTAGTGTATGTAAACTTCTGACCCACTGGAATTGTGATACAGTAAATTATAAATGAAATAATCTGTCTGTAAACAATTGTTGGAAAAATGACTTGTGTCATGCACAAAGTAGATGTCCTAACCGATTTGCCAAAACTATAGTTTGTTAACAAGAAATTTGTGGAGTGGTTGAAAAACAAGTTTTAATTACTTCAACCTAAGTGTATGTAAACTTCCGACTTCAACTGTAGCTAACCAATGAACCATAATCTCAACTCATGTTGCTACCCTGCATGAATCTACAGATAGCTAAAGCTAACCAACTAGATTCAATGTTAGCTAGCTGGCTAACATTAGGCTATAACTAGCAATGCAAATGGCTCTGAGACACAAATAATATTACTACACAGATCATACAAGTAACGTTAGCCAGCCAGCTAACATTAGCTAGCTAATAGTATGCTTTAACTTGCAATGAGAACTACTTAATGACAAAATAAAAAATGTATAATATCTGAAAATGTAGCTAGCTAGACTCTTTTACCCATATACATGGATGAACGCTTCTCCCTCTCTGTCACGGATGCCATGGTTGCCCTTAGTTTGAAGATATAATCCAGAGACAAGTGTTTTATACAACAGCCTTTGTGTTTTCTCTTTTCAACTCCCTCCACATAATCTAACGCCTGAATCTCCTTAGCTATCATATTCTGCTTCCACCTGGCATTCCACTGATTTCAAAACTTGTTCCTCCAGAAAGTCGAGAGTGGAGAGCATTAGTAACATTTTCACAGTCTTTGTGACATTGTAAAAAAGAAAAAACGTGTTAGAAAGGATTACCTACACATTCTGAGCAGCTCATAGACAGAAGCGTGCTCAATGGCATTTGATCAATTCTGTCTATTTAAAAATCTGTGAACCTCTATGATGATAAACTAGTCTACAACTAAAATATCTTATCATTCTCTCTATCAAACCAAATGCTAGAGTGAACATCAATTGTTGGTGATAAGATTGTTTTATCTGTGGTCATTGTATGCAGCTATGGTTGTCATTCTATGTCCCGCCCATAATCACAAATTACTTTCATCTCTCTTATTTGAAGATTCAGTCCTTCCTTCATGTTCAGGCAGTGTAGATCTAAATACAGAATGGAATGCATATATGTGGCAATTCTCGTCGTCTACAGCTTCTGTAAGTTACTGTAGATTCAGTTCAGATTTTGTGATTCATCAATACATTTGGTCTCTCACATAGTTGTGACTGTGTTTAGGTGTGTATATCATGTGCATGAAGAATATGTTTTATTTACTGTTTCTAAATCTTTGTTCTCTCTTTCAGATCTGACCCTTGTTGCGTCTGTCTCTCCACCACCCTTAAAGGTGGTCCAGTCAGGGGAAAATGTCACCCTGCAGTGCATCAATGTCCTTAAAAACCCGGGACATGTTGGCTGGTTCAAGCAAGTCAACGGCTCAGAGCCCCTGTGCATCACGTCTATGTGGAGCTCTCTGCCAACTGTTCATCATCAAAATGGATTTCAGGGCAAACGTATGAAAATGCTAATGACCAATGGAACTTTCATTCTCAAAATCACAGAGGTGGATGTAGCTGATTCTGGTCTGTACTTCTGTGGAATGTTGGATAACTATTTCATCTTCACCAACGCGACTGTCCTGAAGGTCCAAGGTAATATTTTCTATACATTGTCTGCTATGACACCAAATGCACAACATTTATCCATGGTATTAGATATATTTTTGACTAAATGTTGGAGATACAATACTATCGTACTACAGTTTGGAATATTGTGGAATATTTAATTCACCTAATCGTCCAAAAGGTCACAATGATTATGACAAGGACCCTACAGAGCAGTATGAAGGTATGTTCATTCTGTAATTTTAAGTGACAATCTTTCAGAAATGAATTAATAGGATGTACCATGAAAGTACCACAGAATAGAAATAAAGTACAACAGCATCTTATAGTGATCTGAGAATTCTCCATTCTCCATTGGTAGCAAACGGGGTAAATGTTTTTATAGGTCTGATTCTAATTGAAATCTGTTTTGTAGGACAGAAAGATGGAATCGTGAACCTCTTCATAATGGTTGTGATCCTGGGTGTTGTAACTGCTGTTCTATTGATAATCATCCTCATCCTGGTCCTCAAGGTCAGACGAGATGCAAACAGACTAAACACAGGTATGGAGCCCATGTCAAATGGGGCCTGCTATTGTTTCATATGCCATATTGCAGGCAACCCTGGTCCTGGAGTGCCGCAGGCCCTTCATGTTTTTGATTTCACCAACCTAGAAGACCTAGGTTTGTTCAATTTAGGCAATCATTGAACTGATCAATTAGCTCAGTTGGGCAGGATTGGTGCCTAGTTGGAACAAAATCCTGCAATACCTGCGGCACTCCAGGAACAGGGTTGCCTACCCCTGACATACTGTATACTGAGAATTGAAAGAGTCAGTAAAACGTATATTGTGCGCACTACAATGGAATGATCAGATGATATTTTCTCTCATCACTGTTTCATATCATATTCAGGACCTGACTCGCAACGACAACCACAAAATGATCAGGTAAATGTTATTTGTTTAGTGACATTATTTAAAAAATATAAGCAATTTAGAAACAGTGTAAATTATAATTGTATGTTATGGTGTTTCCAAATCTACAGAACCAAGATCCTGATGCACTGAATTATGCCGCCCTGAATTTCACCTCCAAGATAAAGAAGAGGGAGAGAAGAAGAGAGGAGCTGGACCCCCATGTAGTGTATGCTGCTACAACATGACAAAGTGGAGAAGGATGGAGAAGAGGGAAAGTTGCTTGCCATATCTTTGAATACAAGTTTAAATCATTCTATATTGTATGTGTAGTTAAAACAAATGTATTGAAATATCTCTGTAGTTTCTGTGCGTTGTACCTCAGGGCCACTGTAGCCCTCTTTCACTCTGTTAGGCCACACAGCTCAGTGGTTAGAGAGGGGGAGTTAGACTCAAACCACAACTGTTTAATGGCCACAAAGGAGTAGTTGCCTCTTTTGGCCTCTCTTAGCTTAGATCTCTGTTAATTAAATGCCATTTAGCAGACGCTTTTAGCCAAAGCGACTTACAGTCATGCGTGCATGCATTTTTTGTGTATGGGTGGTCCCGGGGATCGAACCCACTACCCTGGCGTTACAAGTGCCGTGCTCTACCAGTTGAGCTACCAGTCGAGCTACAGAGAATCACAGTTGTGTGTATTAGTGATTTGGTTATTCTTTAATAAGTTGGCCATAAAGGACAAAGTACCCAGCATAGGATAATTTTATTACATTGATTACTTAATAAAATTAGAGTTTAATCAAAACTGTCACAATGTTGTTTGTCATGATGTTATTCACTCCTTAGTATTTCCTGTCTTGTTGCACTGATCACAGCCCCCTATTCTGAAAAGCATCTAGTTGCCTTATAAGGAGAATATGATTGGGGTCTGAGGTAGAGGAGTGGCCAGTGAGGAACGCATCACTTCCTGTGGTGTGAGTGACAGGGAGGAGCAGCTCAGTGATGAGTGAGACCTGCTGAAGTGAACATCACTGGGCCTTTCAGACTGACACTGGGGGATGAGTCTCGCTCTCGCTCTCGCTCTCGCTCTCGCTCTCGCTCTCGCTCTCTCTCTCTCTCTGCCCACCCAACACATGTTATTTGTTGAAAATGTTCTACCTGGAACCAAAAAGGGTTCTGCAAAGGGTGCTCCTATGGGACAGCCGAATAACCCTTTTACGTTCTAGGTAGCACCTTATTTTCTAAGAATGTGCCTGCTCAAAAGAACCTGGTCACTTTTCCACCACGTGACATGTGTAAGTAGAAGCGCGTGGGTGATTTGAGGGGCGGTTGACAATAATGTGACATGGAGACAATAGAGATGTCATGCGTCACTCCCTCTCTGCTGAAGACAAACAACCTGCACTACAGGAAGACTGGCCTTCAGCTCTCACCACACTTCTCAGTGCATCAAAACCACACAAGCTCTTTTCACACCTCTCTTCATCTGTTCATCTGGATGATGAACACCAGACCCCTGTCGCTCAGTTAGATGTGGCAAGTATGTGAAGAATACAAACAAGCTAAAAGCTTTTCCCATAACCTAAAGTATTCAACAAGGGTCCAAAGTGCAGATTCAGATTGGGTGTCATCTAAATAGTTTGGTCAACTATTTTCCTTCATGAAAACCTCTGACCCATTCACTCATACAGAACAACTTAAGTCAGTATCAATGTTCACAGTGCTATTTATTCATGCTTATACAATAAGTGCATACACAGGGATTTGGTGAAAGCAAGTAACATACTACATATAGGCTATTGATATTGGCCCTAACTTTGTCAATTTCCTGGTGAGGTAGATAATGATGAAGATGGTCAGACAGCAGAGGAGAACTCCAGTTCTTATGATGGAGAGAAGGTCCAGGATTCTCATCTATGAATCAACATCACAATCTAAAATAAATAAAATATACTGTATCACTCCACTATAGTGCTATGGGCAGCAGTCGATAATGTGTTATCAATAATTAACTGTAATGTTAATGTATTTCTAATAATAGCAAATGGGTTAAGAAATGTTAGCTACCTTCAACATCCAGCTTGGTCCCGTTCCCAAACAGTAAACAACAGGTGTAGATGAACAGTGAAATGCTTACTCACGGGCCCAACAATACAGAGAGAAAGAAAATAGAGAAATAATAGAAATGTAAAACATGTAATAATAAATACACAATGTGTAACGATAACTTGGCTATACACACAGGGTACCAGGTAATTGAGGTAGATATGTACATATAACTAGGAATAAAGTGACAGAAAATAAACAGTAGCAGCAGCGTATGTGATGAGTCGAAAAAGTTAGTGTAATGCAAATAGAGTAGCTGTTTGATGAACTACTGTATTAAACAATTAAGCAGTCGTATGGCTTGGGGTAGAAGCTGTTCAGGGTCCTATTGGTTCCAGACTTGGTGCATCGGCTTGCCGTGTGATAGCAAAGAGAACAGTCTATGACTTGGGTGGGTAGAGTCTTTAAAAGAAAATGTAGATCCTTCCTGGTATAGAGGTCCTGGATGGCAGGGGAGCTCAGCCCCAGTGATGTACTGGGCCATACGCATTACAATCTGTTGCGCCTTGCGGTCGGGTCCTTAGCTTAGTGATGAGCTTGGAGGGCACTATGGTGTTGAACGCTGAGCTGTAGTCAATGAACAGTATTCTCACATACAGTGGGGGAAAAAAGTATTTAGTCAGCCACCAATTGTGCAAGTTCTCCCACTTAAAAAGATGAGAGAGGCCTGTAATTTTCATCATAGGTACACGTTAACTATGAAACAAATCCAGAAAATCATATTGTAGGATTTTTAATGAATTTATTTGCAAATTATGGTGGAAAATAAGTATTTGGTCACCTACAAACAAGCAAGATTTCTGGCTCTCATAGACCTGTAACTTCTTCTTTAAGTGGCTCCTCTGTCCTCCACTCGTTACCTGTATTAATTGCAGCTGTTTGAACTTGTTATCAGTATAAAAGACACCTGTCCACAACCTCAAACAGTCACACTCCAAACGCCACTATGGCCAAGACCAAAGAGCTGTCAAAGGACACCAGAAACAAAATTGTAGACCTGCACCAGGCTGGGAAGACTGAATCTGCAATAGGTAAGCAGCTTGGTTTGAAGAAATCAACTGTGGGAGCAATTATTAGGAAATGGAAGACATACAAGACCACTGATAATCTCCCTCGATCTGGGGCTCCACGCAAGATCTCACCCCGTGGGGTCAAAATGATCACAAGAACGGTGAGCAAAAATCCCAGAACCACACGGGGGGACCTAGTGAATGACCTGCAGAGAGCTGGGTCCAAAGTAACAAAGCCTACCATCAGTAACACACTACGCCACCAGGGACTCAAATCCTGCAGTGCCAGACGTGTCCCCTTGCTTAAGCCAGTACATGTCCAGGCCCGTCTGAAGTTTGCTAGAGTGCATTTGGATGATCCAGAAGAGGTTTGGGAGAATGTCATATGGTCAGATGAAACCAAAATATAACTTTTTGGTAAAAACTCAGTTGCATCCAAAGAACACCATACCTACTGTGAAGCATGGGGGTGGAAACATCATGCTTTGGGGCTGTTTTTTTGCAAAGGGACCAGGACGACTGATCCGTGTAAAGGAAAGAATGAATGGGATTTTGAGTGAAAACCTCCTTCCATCAGCAAGGGCATTGAAGATGAAACGTGGCTGGGTCTTTCAGCATGACAATGATCCCAAACACACCGCCCGGGCAACGAAAGAGTGGCTTCGTAAGAAGCATTTCAAGGTCCTGGAGTGGCCTAGCCAGTCTCCAGATCTCAACCCCATAGAAAATCTTTGGAGGGAGTTGAAAGTCCGTGTTGCCCAGCGACAGCCCCAAAACAGCACTGCTCTAGAGGAGATCTGCATGGAGGAATGGGCCAAAATACCAGCAACAGTGTGTGAAAACCTTGTGAAGACTTACAGAAAACGTTTGACCTGTGTCATTGCCAACAAAGGGTATATAACAAAGTTTTGAGAAACTTTTGTTATTGACCAAATACTTATTTTCCACCATAATCTGCAAATAAATTCATTAAAAATCCTACAATATGATTTTCTGGATTTTGTTTTTCTCATTTTGTCTGTGTACCTATGATGAAAATTACAGGCCTCTCTCATCTTTTTAAGTCGGAGAACTTGCACAATTGGTGGCTGACTAAATACTGTTTTTTCCCCACTGTAGGTGTTCCTCTTGTCCAGGTGGGATAGGGCAATGTGGAGTGCAATAGAGATTGCTTCATCTATGGATCTGTTGGGGCGATGTGTGAATTGGAAAGGCTCCAGGGTGCTCTGAGTACGCTTCCTGGTAATCCGTCTGGCCATGCGGCCTTGTGAATGTTAACCTGTTTATAGGTCTTACTCACATCAGCTACAGAGAGCATTATCGCACAGTCGTCCAGAACAGCTGGTGCTCTCATGCATGGTTTAGTATTGCTTACCTCAAAGCGAGCATAGAAGGCATTTAGCTTGTCCGGTAGGCTCGCGTCACTGGGCAGCTCACGGCTGGGTTTCCCTTTGCAATCCTTAATAGTTTACAAGCCATGTCACATCCAACGAGCGTCAGAGCTGGTGTAGTAGGATTCGATCTTAGTCCTGTATTGATGCTTTGACTGTTTGATGGTTCGTCGGAGGGCATAGCGGGATTTCTTTTGAGCTTCCAGATTAGTGTCCCCGCTGCTTTTAGTGTACTCAGCTTTTCAGTCCATGTGTAACCCCAACAAAAAAATAGTTAGTCCAACTTCAGTCAATACAAAATAATGTGTTTGCTCAACTTGTCTCATAAGTTTATTGAACAAAATTATTATTTGGGCATCTTAATTAAAAAAGGCTGTGCAAATAGTTACTCACACACAGTGCTTTTAACATGCAATTTCAACTTACATATTTGACACACATTGACATACATTGTGCATGTTTCTTTATACAGTACTTAATATTCAACATGTCCTCACCTGGGATTTGAACTCACAACGTCTTGGATCATGGCTACAACGATCTTCCAGCTATGCCACCATGTCTGTGTCAATTATCAGTTAATCTGAATATTCTCTCATCATTGATTTTGATTTTTCTTATTTAAGCAATTTTGGTTATTAAGGCAAACCATTGCTGGACATATTTTTTATCATTATAATTTTGAGAAAAATACTTATTTATTCTACTAATCCTGATGTTCAGGGCACAATGGACGTAAGG